ATTTGCTTACTAATTTAAAAGTTATAGCATGAAAACTATAACAAGCCCCAAATGGTTATGATGTTGGTCCCAGGGACCGAGTCTTTGTCGAAAGACTTAATGAGAATGTCAACTGTATAGTGCAGGTTACCTAGTAGTTACTCTCATGGTTCAGACAAGTAATGCATGACCAAACTTGATGCAGAATTTTTATAAATAAAATATTTACAGGTTTACACGTGCATTAGAAGTTCTTCCAACTAGTTACGAAGAGAGTGGTGTATTGAAACCAAAGGTTGTGACCAAGTTGTAACATACTTCCATCAGTTACTTGAGTATTTATAAAATATTTATTTCTCTTTGTAGATTTTATAAAAACATAATAAAGAGAACTTCTCTATTTTCAGTTTTTAGTAATCACATATCTACTGGACTTGGCATGGATTTTCATATTAGCTTGTTTGGTGATCATCACCTTTGTCTTTATGGTTTCCTGGGGGTTATGTAACCAGTTGGAGATTACTAATAGTCAGAGACAGTGTATAGACCTGACTCACTTTGGTAAGGATGCTCTTTATAAACATGTATGATCCATCTCTCACTCAACTCATATTTTCAGTTGAGATAAAAAAAACTTTAATGATAACACCAGATATCTACTATTCCTTTCTATAAACTTTAAAGATAATACTGATATGTAGTACTACTTTCTAAAAACTGTAATGATAATACGGATACCTACTACTACTTTCTAAAATGTTAATGATAATACTGATATCTACTAGTTCTTTCTAAAATGTTAATGATAAAACTGATATCTACTAGTTCTTTCTAAAATGTTAATGATAATACTGATGTCTACTAGTTCTTTCTAAAATGTTAATGATAATACTGATACCTACTAGTTCTTTCTAAAATGTTAATGATAATACTGATATCTACTAGTTCTTTCTAAAATGTTAATGATAAAACTGATATCTACTAGTTCTTTCTAAAATGTTAATGATAATACTGATGTCTACTAGTTTTTTCTAAAATGTTAATGATAATACTGATATCTACTAGTTCTTTCTAAAATGTTAATGATAAAACTGATATCTACTAGTTCTTTCTAAAATGTTAATGATAATACTGATATCTACTACTTCATTCTAAAACGTTAATGTTGATACTGATATCTGCTATTCATTTCTATAAAGTTTAATGATAATACTGATATCTACTACTACTTTCTAAAACTTGAATGATAATACTGATATCTACTACTACTTTCTTATAACTTTAATCATAATACTGATATCTACTACAACTTTCTAAAACTTGAATGATAATACTGATATCTACTACTACTTTCTATAAACTTGTATGATTATATTGATATCCACTACCACTTTTTTATAAACTCTGATGATAATACTGATATCTACTACTACTTTCTAAAACTTGAATGATAATACTGATATCTACTACAACTTTTTTATAAACTCTGATGATAATACTGATATATACTACTACTTTCTAAAACTTGAATGATAATACTGATATCTACTACAACTTTCTAAAACTTGAATGATAATACTGATATCTACTACCACTTTTTTATAAACTCTGATGATAATACTGATATATACTACAACTTTCTAAAACTTGAATGATAATACTGATATCTACTACCACTTTTTTATAAACTCTGATGATAATACTGATATATACTACAACTTTCTAAAACTTGAATGATAATACTGATATCTACTACCACTTTTTTATAAACTCT